ATTAAACCTCTTTACAAGTTGAAAATGATTTCTGTAACCTTAGTATATGAACCTGAATCTTGAATCTTAAAAACAGAGCAATATGAGATAGCAGCTTTCTTGTAACAGAAACAAGGACAGGAAGAAAGAAAATTCACGGAAATTTTTTTAGAACAGTTCTATACACTGCAGGCTTAAGTCATCATTTTATTTCACCCTTCCTACTCATTCCTACATTTCTTTCATCCCCACCCCTCCCCTTTCACTTTCTCTCTAAACAGTCACACATGTAAGGGTTCTAGGTGGTGAAACTGTTGAGAGGATTGTCATCAAAAGAGATGCCATGGGGCCAGATGGTAAAAACAGCACTTGTGCAACCAGATCCACATGCCAAGGTCCTCAGTTCATGTCCCTCAGTCTCCTTGTGTATGTCAAATACATGTGTGCCCATAACCCAGTCTGGCCAGGGTTGGGTGGGGTGAATTACAGCATAAGGACATTGTTGGCAGTGCCCACCTCTTTCTCTCTCAGGGAAGAACTAAGTAAACAAATGAAGAGATGAAAGATGAGGACAGATCGTTATTTTTCCTTCTAATTTAAGATTTTGATATCTATTTTTGATATCTGAGAAAACTCATAGTTGTGCTTTCTAGGAAAAAAAAAAAAAACTAGATCTAGAATAACTAAAATCCCGAAGGGAACTAGGATAAAGGCTAGTTTTAAACTTGGACACAACTTAAAAAGTTGGGCCCTCCATGTGTTATTAATATATCCAGTTCCAAGTACAAAGTAAAAACTATTTAAAATCAGCAAGTATGAGCCTGAATTGCACAAGTCCTCTTAGAGAATAAGACCTTGCAGTTGACTTCAGTTTCTGGCCCTCATGACTTTAAATGAGGCTTCTGAAAACTTTTCTCATGGGCATAACCTTGAAGATCTTATGATAAGGGGAGAAGGTTTGGGCATTTTAAGGGTTTGTCTGTTTTAAGACCTCCAGAATGCTAGACAGGTATTGGTCAGATACTGTCAGTACTCAAAAAAAAAATAAAAATAAAAAAAATAAAGAAAAGAAAAGTGTTAATAATGGACCACGAGTTAGATGACTCTTGAGACTAAGGTAGAAGAGTAAATTGCAAGGCTTGATATATCTTTTAAGAGATCCCTTCTGGTCGACTAATGGATACCTAGGACTACAACTGCCACATTAACATTCTGAATGCCAAGCAATTCCAAAAGTCTGATGCTCCTAGCCAGCCTTCTGATACAGCTATAAATACGCAGAGTCCCCCAGAAACAAATATGAGAGAGGTGACCAAGATTTATGGGCATGTTAATTATAGCATAATTTATAATAGAAAAAATGGGAAGTTAAATGCCTAAGAAACAGAGTGTAGTTCAGTTATTTCATATCTATATTACACAGTCATTAAAAATCATGTCTTTGAGGAACATTTGATGACAAGAAAAATACTTAAAATGAGAAGCCAAAATGTTACAAAATGGAAGAGAGAGAGATGGTAGTCATCTGTCCATCTATTTGTCTCCCCTACCCCTGGTCATATACACATACATGTCTGAAAAAAAAACTACAGGAAAATGTTAGTATGTCTCTGAGTAATGAGATACTAAGGTCTTTTCCTTCCTTTTTTAAGTTTCTTTAATTCTTTCATGAGTGAGAGAGATACAGACGGACACATAGAGACCGAGAGAGGCAGCACTCCCCAAAGGGTCTTGACACTGTGTTCTGCCCCCAGCCAGCCCTGGATCTTGGGCATGCACATGACCAGGCTATGTAGGGAGGTCTTTGGACACAAACCTTCCCATTTGGGACGCCTTGCAGAGCATCACATTTGACTGCTGTGTCACCAACTGGGCCCCAGTCTTTATCTCTGTATTTGTGAGCTTTAGACTTACTTTTTTGGGTACTTTTGTAGTAATATATACTGTTTTTTTAAAAGCAATGATCAATTATCATAAGAGTACTCAGTTAAATTTATACCAGTCTACTATATAATTATTATTAATGAATGATAATGTATAAAATTCTTGTGCTCATATATAAATAATTATACTGAAAAAAAATATCTATGTCTCAGTCAGTAGCCTCTGGGCCAGAGGTTTTGAACCTTGTGATCTGCATTGAAATCCATCCTGCCACAGTCGGGCCTGCTATATTAAATACTACTGACGCATGAAGAGGGAACTGATACTTGTTGGGTATGTACTCTAGGCCAGGTGTTTATGTACTCGGTTTCACTTACAAATGAAGAAAGTGAGCTTCAGAAATGTCAAACTACTTGCTTCTATCACATGCCTGTTCTGTGATCAACATGGATTCAAATCCTCTCATTCTGGCTTGAAAACCCGAACTCTTTCCGATCACCTCATGCCTGGTAGAAACTTCAGATGAGAAGCAGATTTTATTCCAGACGTCTAAAAATATCTTGACATAAGCCGTTGTTAAAACTCTTAATGTGTGACCAAACTAAATGATTTTTTTTTCTTACATATACTCTAGTGGAAGTATAGGGAAACTGTCAAAGGGAGACAAAATTACAGACAGAAAAGAGGACAAGTGAGTAATCAATCCACTGGCTGGGAAACTCCTGGCACACTAGGCAGCAGCTGTAAAAATTAGCCCAGCTTTCTGCTTAGCCACGGTGGTAGCCACTAGCAGTGACTGGAAAGGACTCCCAGGGTCTGCCCCTGTATATGTATCTCACTCAACCCTGCCCGAGCTGCTGTTCCTTCTTCCTACTAGGCTGGAACACCCTTTCTTGGCAGTTATTTCTTTGGCTTCGTTACAAAGCCTGCCTCATGGACTCTAGAGCAGTATCCTTATTTTTAAAAGTTTGTTTACTCATTTCTTCCAGGAGTGAGGTATACAGAGAGAGAAACAGAGAGACAGCACCTCCCAAAGGGTCTTAATACTGTGATCTACCCCCAGCCTCAGCCAGTCCTAGATCATGGGCGTATAAGTACCTGGAATGCTCAGGGAGATCCCTGGAGGCAAACCAGGAACCTTCCCATGTGGGTCGGCCTCACAGAGCACTGCCTTTTATCATGGCACCACATCTGACCCTAGAGAGGTGTATTTAAAAGCTGAAACTTCCCTCTAAACAATACAAAAAGCCCAAAGATTATTTTCATTCACTTTTCCATTGAATAATAAATGACTCTTATTATTGATCAAAAAAGGACCTAAACCCTAGATATTATGCCAGGCCTATCTTTATTTATATCGTCTAATTTAATTCAATCAGCAGAAGAGTGTGTAACTAATAATATTTCATGCCACTAAACCTCACAATTACAAAATATTTCCTCATTTATTACCTCATTTGCTCCTCATGATAAGACTTAAGGAAGGAAAGGTAGGAAACATCATCCCTAGTTTACTGACTAGGAAATTGAGGTATGTTGCCACATTGTTTATTCAATTAGATAGTAGTTCCTTGGAAAGCATGGAGGGATTGGCCCTTTGTAGGGTAGGTATGAAAGTTTGGGTTGAGAAGAACATGGTAGCAATGTTTCCTTAGAAATGTTTGAGGGTCTGGATGGAGTGATGAAATATTGTAGTGGGAAGACAAAGTCTACTTCAGTCAGAGTTGCCTATGGAAGGTTCTAGGGGAGAGACTTCCTCCAACTTTCTACTTTATCAATCCTATTTACTCTTCGAAGCCAAACCTACATCCCACCAATCCTGAAAGCCTGATTATCTACCATAAGGAAATCACATGAATAAAATCTTGAGGTTTCATAGGCCTTATTACAATATTATAATAACTTTTTGTACTAGGCTTGGTCATTCTTTTTACAAACAAGGAAAATAAAGCTCAGAGAGGTTAAGTAACTTTCAAACTGACAGTTATTAAGTAGCAAAGTCCAGATTTCAAGCTACATTATATCACAGCTGCCTCATCTTTCTGTACATTTATCATACCTTATTATTGTCATGTATTCCTTAATCCCTTAATTAGGTTATAAGTTCCTTGAGAGCAGGTAAGAAGCCTTATATTTCTTTGTAACCCTTACTCTGACCCTCATAGCACTTAGCAGATCACCATGAACACAGTAGGTCTTCAAAAAGCATTGTATGTTAAATATCTGTTGGCTAGGAACAGTAATTATTAGGAAGGCTTTTTTTGGTACTCTGAATATTAGGCTGTCTGCTGCATGTAATTAAGACAAGAGTGAACATGAAATATATAATTTCTCCTAGCCATAGCTTAATCAGGCATCATTACCATGTCTGATTCTGTGTTATGTGAAAAGAACTGCTTAGTAAGTATTTTCTGTGATAAGGATAATCAAATACATACACATATCAGATCATTTTTTTAAGAACAAAAACAAAACCATGACACATATGGAGAGATAATGACCTCCATGCTATAATATTCTATCTGAGATGAAGAACTTCCAAATAAAAAGAATACTTCTCTACTTTCTGGCAATTGGAGATCCAAGGAACATGAAGAGGAGTCATGGTGCTAACTGGGAACCTTGTACGTTATACTCTGTCAAGAAGATGGACAGACTATGCTACTCTTCTGTGTTACAAACAGAAGAAAGGTGCACCTTTAATGGATGTTCTGGGAGAGAGGTTTGCTAAGAGACCTCTTAAGCATGTCAATCATTGAATTATTACCTTCATCGACAGGCAAACAATAAAATACATATGTGTAATATACAATTGTTACTTTGATGAACCTCATTCTAATTTTCCTCCCAACACATCATTTGATGACAGCTTTGGAATTATAAAGGACTTACACGAATTTGCTCAGGTTATGCTTTTTTGATGGTAAGGATTAGCTCAAGTGTGTATAAACTGACATTTGGTAAAGTAAGCTCACAATGCCTACCTATCCCATGTTAGTGCCAAAACCTATATAATAATTTGATGCTAATGAGAGTCAGGGAATCCGACCTTCTGGATCTCATAAATCAAGTGCCACATCCCCATGCATTAAACCAACATCAACTGAGAAGAGCAAATACCAGGTTGTGGTACCTACATTTGCATCCTCATGGCTGTGGCCATTGGTCTCCACCAATTCCTTGGTACCTTTTAACTGTAAATTTTAAAGAACAACAAAACAAAACAAAACAAAAATGGATAAGCAAGTATGTCTGTTAAGTGTATATCATCTTGTTAACTCTAATTTCTAAGGTTGCATTTTATAAAACTTCCAATGAGGAAAAACAATGGAGCACATAATTCTAATGAGCCTTATTGAAATCAGTTCGAGACCAATATTTTATGAAGCTTGATGGCTGGCAAAAAAAATAAAATGATAATAATAAATGGGGCTTGGTCATTATTTTTTAAATAATAAGATTAGAAAGCAGTTCCATAGGCATAAAATGTATAAAATTGGTTCTTAAGAATAATAAATGATTTCATTTCCTAGTTGGATTGCTATTAATTTAAACCCTGCAGTGTTTGCAAGTTGCCACCAGCTAAATGATTTTATACTAATGATTATTCACGAGTGATGTATTTTCAGTCATCTTAACATGCTGCAATGCTACCATACATGCTTTCCTTAAGATCATCTTTGACTGATATCATTTTTGGAGGCCTATGAGGAGAAGACAGTTTGCTTCTTTCCACAGAGGATGAACTGGAAAGACATCACCTTGGCCACTGAAACATTAGAAAAAAACTAGTTCTCAAATGAGATTTTTGACAGTGAGCATTTGAAAACACTGCCCTCTCTTTGAAGGGCTTAGGCATAATCAGTTACCTGAAGTTTCAGGAAACCTTTAATTGGCATTTAGTCCCACCATGACTCAAAGCAGATACTTAGAGGCAGAGAGCAAAGGAAAAGCATGAGTTGGTCTTGCAGCTGATTGCCCATTTTCCTTCATGACATATTATGCTTAGGAAGTAGTATCTTCTCTATTATCCACATTATGCTTAAATTTAAATTGTTTAAAATTTGAAAGAAAATGTATATACATATATTACCAGTGTTTGATTCAGAATATCAATTCTTTCTTTGTGCATTTTAAAATAAAAATTTCCTTAGTTGCTTTTTGTTTTTGTTTTTGTTTTTGAATCTTAAACCCTCAGCTGAAAAGCCATGCTTTCTCCAAGTCAAAAAAAGGGTTTCACCAAAGGAATAGTGACATGAATAAATCGAGGATGGAGTAGCTGATAATGGATGAAAGGCTCTTCAGCTCATTTCCTGTCACCTCTACTTAAGGGAAAAAAAAAAATCTGCCCACTGCTCTTTAGGGCTATATCATTAATGTTTATACATATAACAAACACAAGGGAGCATGACAATGTATGATATATGATGGATCTTCAAAAAGTTTACAGAAAATGTATACTATGCAAAAATAATGCATTGATTTAAAAAATTTCTTGTACCAAAATTATCTACTGTTTTTATTCCATTTTCTATGAATGTTTTAAGTCACTAATATATGAAAACATAAAGGTGTTATCATAGCAATAAGAATATCACCTTTGGCCAGCATGTGGGCATGGAGGTTGAGGTGCAGGATCCCACATGGCCAACAACACAGTTTGATTCCCAGACCCAGTGACTGGAGAATCACAGTGGGGGGAAAGTATGTGCATGCTCAGTATTCTGAAAAGAGAATGAAAGAGAGGGGACTGCAGTGTGGTCATCCCCCCTGAGGGTAGTTTCTTGCTTTTCCTGTCTGTCTTTCTCTGGTGAGTGCACACACCTTTTAGCAAAACAAAACAAAAAATACCTATCGCCATAGGAAAAAAAGGACTTACTGAAAAAAAAGCAAATATCAGCAGATGGCATATGGCTAAGTCACTGGACTCCCAAGTAGTGGTTTGAGTCTTGGACTCAGTGGCTTAAACTCATGCTGGGCACGTGTGCGTGTGTGCCCAAGTTCCCAAGAGGAGAATGGAGAAGGGACTGCGGTGTGGCCATCCCCCCAGGGGTGATTTCTCACTTTCTCTCTGTCTCTCTTTCTGGTGAGGACATGCACCCTATAGCAAAAACCTCTCAAAAACAAACAAACAAAAAAACCCCAAATAATCCCTATCTTTTCTAGTTTAAGGTTTCTTATGGTAGATGTTCCTCATCCTCTTCCTCTTCGTCAGTCCCCTCTGCTCATTGTAGCCTAGGTTCCATAACTTGTGTTGCCATAGTTAAAGTGAAGTTAGCTCAGAATAAGGTTTTATTCTTTTTCAGGAGAAGTGAAGTACTATTTTGCTAAAGTCCTTTCCACTTCCACACATTTACCAGCAGATATATGCTGATTGTTTTTCTCTCTTTTAGATAAATTCCATTCTTGCTACTCCGTGGTATCCTCTAACTCTGCCCTCTCTTTAATGCTACTTATTTATTGCCATTCTACTTCCCGTCTACTGCTACCATTCACTGGGCTACTCTCTGCTGCTGGAATGACCACTGGAAACTGCCCTCCAGCAGCATGTCCCTCTTCTTATAGCAGAAGCTCCAGGCCAGTTGCTTTGCCCTCACCAGCCTGTTCCCTGCTCTTCTCCACTTCAGCTGCTATGCTCGCTCAGATAGGGCTGAACACTTATCTGAAAAGACCTGAGTTTGTGAAAAAGTTATACAATCATAAAGTTGATGAAAGGCATGAATCAGTGGAGCCTGGAGAGGACTAGAGAAGTTGCCCATAACAAACAGATGAGTCTTGGAAATGGTCTGACTTTCCTTGCCTCCAAGGGAATGACCCAGCCTTCCCTGAAGAGCTTAGGGAACCCTACCTTTCCGGGAGGGTTAGAGAATGATTTTTCCTTCCCTGGAGTGAGTAGGACCTAATGGTGGGATGAGTCTGCCCTCAAGACCGATTTTTTCTCATCTGGATTCCCACAAATGGCAGCTACTTTTGTATAGCAAAATTCCAAGTCTTCCATTTATTTAGGCCATATCTATACAGGCACTGAAAAATGTTTATGCATGTAGTTTCTCCATACAAATCCAAGAAAAGCCTCATAATGCAATGCTCATGGAGCTGAGAGGTGTGTTTTCCAGAGTATGTCTGTGGTGAGTGAGTGGAAGCAGGGAGATGGAAGGAATGTGTATACTGCAGGCCTCCCTCTGCAAGGATGCCTAAGGGTAGCAGGGAGAGGCTCTTAGGCAAACAGCTTGTAGGGGCAATAGCACCCAAACACATTGGGCTGTTGGGAATCACTTGTCCCCTTATACTTAGGAATTCTTGCTGCCTTTGCTTGAAAAAAGCTACCCTATTTAAATTAATTCTACGGATTTAAAAATGCTTCCCTTTCAGTCATGTTTTATAGGCCTTTAATGATTTTAGTTGTTCTGAATCCTCTTCACATTCTCTTTGTTTTTCCTTGCAAAGTAATGGAGAGTGAAGTATGATGTTTCACCAGTGCCTGTGCTTTTTCTCTTTAAAAATGCATGCCGTAGTAAGAATATATCGACGCTTCTCGCAAAATTCAGGATCTATTTTTACAACTGAAGTTTGGACTTCAAATGAAAATAAAGGACTTGATCATTTAAAGAAAAAGAGAAATTCACCCCTCCCCACTCTATTGAAAGCTGTCTAAAAGAAAAATACCAGGGAAAAGAGAGAAAAGAAAACAATAAAAATGCAAAGCTATTTCCATTTTGTCATAAGCAAATTTGGGCCAAATAAGTTTTGCTAAGAGTCTTTTAGTAATAAAAATATGGAGAGAACAGTGAGTTCAGGTCTCCTAGACAGCAGGTTGTTGTGAATTTGACCAACCAGATTTTTCATTTCAATCTAATTTGTCTGAAATCATACAGACTTGTCCTTGGTAAAAGTTACTGAAACAATATTAATCATATAAAGATAATTACTAATTTTACTAATCATTTTCATCCAAAGGTATGAAAGTGTATAAACTATCTAACATCTTTAATTTCCCTTCACAAATCAATTGTACTTTTAGTGGAAAATAACTAAAAATATATTTTCTTGAACCCAAATTATTCAGAAAATAAAAATCCCTTGTAAAGTGACTGAGTCACAGATAGCTAGGTCATACTCTCCCTACTTTCTAAAATATCACCTTTACATGTATTTATATATAACCTTCTCGTAAACCATTAAGTTGAATGGAAAATTTAGAACAGCCTACGTTGGATTACCCATGAAGGGTTACTAGAGTTACTATATGGGATTTCTCTCCCTCCTAATTACTATTCATTTCACTGCTGGCAGTAAGTGAAGGCCAGAAATAGGAAAGCATTTCAAGAGCTCTCTGGGCTCCTCCCATGTAGACAGCGAGCTTAGATTTTACTCTGCTGCCTGCTGAGTGATCCATCTTACCCTGCTGTAAGACAATACTTTCCATTCCACTTGTCAATGTCAGGTTACACTTTCATATCAAAGAAAACCAGAATGAAACAATCAGATTTACAAACTCCATATAGAAGTGCTGCTGCTCTCCATGGTTAGATAAATACCCTGATGCACAAGGAAGATATTTTTTTAATGTTGCCATGAATCAGTCCTTCTAGTTCTCATCTGCGGGCCTGCCACGAGTTATGCTAAACTCATTTTCCTCACAATTAGACTTAAGAGGACACTAGCTGCTGCCTTTGAAATATATCTGCACTGCCAATATTTTAAAACTTTCTCCAACTTCATTTGTCTTCTAGGAGAAACTTCCACACAACGCTGGAGGGAGTGGGTCATCAAAACAGGGACAGGAGTGAGGACAGTGATGCTGGGAATGAGATTACAAATTCCATATAGCAAAGCTGCTAGGAAGTTGGACAGGGTTCTGGCTAATTATGCTGCAGATTACCTTCAGCGGTGTTTGCGTGGGTGACACACAAGAGATTGTGTGCATTGGGGCGTTTGAACTGCTTCTTAAATCAGAGCCGTCTCATTCACTTACTTGTTCCTGGAGGACTTTTAGTAATGCTTGTGTGTGTGACTGTTCTCCCTGTGCTTGTTCCAGTTCTGACTTTTTGTTGTTTAACTCCTCTTGGATGGTTAGCAATTGCTGGAAAATTAAAGGATATTTACCATAAATAAAATTAGAGGCCAGGTAATAGATTCAAAACACCCATTCAAAACCATGAGGGAAAGATGTTTATACTTCTTTAAGCTTAGTCCAGACTTACTTGACTGTGTGTGTGTGTGTGTGTGTGTGTGAGAAAGAGAGACAGAGAGAGAGAGATCCCCGCTTAGTGTATGTAGTGTCCAGTTTTGACCTACTATTAGGCTTCTTTGATATCGATGTACAAGATCTGTCTGACTATTCACGAAGGCATCATTATATTTCTTTGAACAAATGCGTATTTGTAAAAATATGTAGACAAGTGTTAATAAGCAACATATTTATAGGTGAAGAGATTAAAGGGTGAAATATACAATTAGTCAGCTTGTCCAATATTCCTTCATTTTACATACTAGAGTAAAGCTAGCTTTGTAGTAGCTCTGTGAAGCTACTTCGCCGTGTGGCTGGGACCACAAAAGATCCTCTGACTGACTCTGTTATGACGGTGATGTTTTATTAGATCAGCAGGACTGAAGTCCAAACTGCAATCAATATATCAGCTGAGAAAACTGCTGATATAAGCTGTCAAAACACTAAGCTATGGCCTACACTGCTATTTTTAAGCAGGGCCACTGAGGGGATTTTTGTAAGCCTGGAGTTTCCCTTGCCCCAGCAACTGTAACTCATGTGGAGGCTTACCTCCTCTGCCAAGAATGCTGCGTACTAATTCTTTGAGACATGGTTATATGTTAATATATACATAGGCTGGAGAATACATTCAGAAACAGCTATGTGGGTTCAGAGCTTCTTGACAGCAAAGGATTAGTTTAAAGACACAGAAGTGCATTTCTCCTGCTGCCAGGCATACCAAATGCTGCACTTACAATGTGGAAGTATGAGTGTGTGAGTGTGCTCCTGCCATGAAGCGACTTGTCTTCAACAGCCAGGCTACTTCTTCAGGGCCTTGCCAAACTGGCTACGGAGCTGCTTGGCCAATTCTTAACTATAAAGCCTGAGGAAACACTGGCACTGGGCTTCTCATGCTTAAACTCACCAACTGGAAGGATTAAATTAAAGCTACAAAACTAATGATTTTGGGGTCTTGGGGGTTTGGAACTACTCAGAAAAACACACTATGCCTTCTCTTGGGCTTGCGTGTGCTGTTCCCTATTCTGGCACTGGGCACAAATTTAAGACTCTACCTTGGTCCTGTTTCCCTTGCAATTTTCTAAAATCTCGGTGCCTCCCACTTCACTGCCTACCCCTAGCATAATCACATGTGAGGTAATGCACGCATCCCACATTGGCTCCCTAAACGGTCTGTGTGATTTAATTATGCATCAATTGATTAAAGGACAGAAACCAGGGAGTACATGTTGTACTTTGGCCCAGGGACAAGTACCTAAAATGACTGTGCTTGAACAGTGGGGAATGATCCTGTTCTTTCATTCTCATTCATGGCTGGCCGCAGAAGAGTTCCAAGGAGATCTAATGCTCTTAATTATGATGCCAAGTGAATTTTCATTTCATTAAATTATTTTAAATCCAGTCCTTAAACCTCCTTTTAAAATGAGCCAAATGAAGGATAAGAAATTGTCTTCTAAGGTAGGTTGCTTATGTTCAATCACTGCAGCATTGGAGGTAGCAAAATTGAGAAACAATCCATGTTTGACTACACTAGCAACCATGTATCTGGGACTAGCAGATGGCATAATGGTTACATTGCTGGACTCCCACATAGTTGCCGGCAGTTAAAGTCTCAAACCCAGTGACTTAAAACTTGTGCCAGGCTCGGGAACCAGCAGTTAGCGTAATGGCTATGTCGCTGGACTCCCACGTAGTCGACCGTGGTTCGCGTCCCGGACCAGGTGGCTTAAAACTCACGCCGGGTGCGTGTGCGTGCGTGCCCAAGATCCTGAAAGGAGAATGGAGGAGAAGGGATTGCGGCGTGACCATTCTCCCTGGGGGGTGATTTCTCGCTTTCTGTCTCTATGTCTCTCTCTGTCTGTCTGGCGAGCGCATGCGTCCTATAGCGAAAACCTCACCCCCCAAAAAAAACTAAAAAAAAAAAAAACCCCCCCCAAAAACCCAAAAACTTGTGCCAGGCTCATGTCTCTGTGTGTTTAAGATCCTGAGAGGAGAATGAAGAGATTGCGGCATGGCCATCCCTCCTAGGGGGTGGTTTCTTGCTTTCTGTCTGTCTGCAGTGAGCACATGTGGCCTATAGCAAAAATTTCTCAGAAAAAAAAAAGCGCGCAATGGTGCATCTGTACAACAGGATAATATACAGCACCTGTAGTGATACAAGTGAAGACAGCACTGTGTGAGGTTGAGGCCTAGGTTCACGTCCCAGACCAATGTGACCATGCCAAGTGTGGCTGTATGTGCCTATGAGCCCAGCTAAATAGGAGGCTGGGGGAGACAATCATGACTGGGGAGACTCTGTCAAACATACTGCTCTCTCTCCTTCCTATCATGACTCACACACTCAAGGAGAAGGAAAAGGAGAAGTGGCAACTGTACAAATGTCTCTGGACATAGAAAACCCTCATAATGCATTGCTTAGCAAAACAAATAAAAGTTCAGATTACAAAAATATCTCATTTAATTTTGCAGCACACTCACAGAAATGGATTTGGATATTGTCTCTGGGTAAGTGGATCTATGAATCTTTTTGTTTGTTTTGTTTGTTGATTTTCTATTATACTGGTAGCTACCACACAGTGCTTTAGCAGTGAGAAAAAAAAAATCAAATGAACACAAGTTGGGGAAGGATAAAGAAGAAACATTACTTGAACACCACTCACACCCTGTGAATAAATAAGAAGGGGGAGTCCCTTGGAATCACCCATTTCATCTACACATTTACATCTTTTCATTTTATTAAAACAGGCATACATATACTCTTCCCTTGTCCTCATTTCCATACAAGTTTCTATTTTATCTCATTCTTCCTTAGACTCATACTTGTTAAATAAAATCTTTCTCATCATCACTCCCTTTTCTTCTTGTATATAGACAATCACTGTAATGGTTTAGTGTCTATATTTTTATTCAAAGGCATTTTTCACACACAGTCATTTGTTTATATTTTTATGTGACGTCTCATATTTTATTGCTTACCATATATATTTTTATTGTTTATATATATACATTTATATTATATAGTAAACATATATGCTACATATGTTTACTATATAATATACATATATATTAGTTTTGCTATTAGGGTGTGTGCACTCACTGAATACACACACACACACACACACACACACACATGCATAGCAGGGAGAGAGAGAGAGTGAGAAATTTCCCCCGGGGGGATGACTGTGCTGTAATCCCTTCTCCTCCACTCCCTTATCAGGATTTTGGAAACTCAAGCACATGTGCCCAGTATGGTTTTCAAGCTACTGGGTCTGGGGCTGGAATTGTGCAGTTGGCCATGTGGGATCCAACCATCTTAACCTCCATACCACCTGCTCGCCCAGTTTATGATGCTTTTAATAAGCATTATATCTTTAAGATCCATCCATGTTAGTATTTTATGTATCTAATCTTTGGACTGTGATGACTGTATAATATCTATGGAGTACATCCACTCTCCTAGTGAAGGCCACTCAGATTATCTCCAGTTGTCCCCACTCTGCGAGCCATAACAGAACACGTAGCTCATGTTCCTCCCTATGGGAGGATTTCGCTGGTGTGAGACTCTAACAGTGACATTGGGTCATAGGGTTTGCCTGACGAGTTAATTTGCTGAAGTTGCTTGGCAAGGTGGCCGTACCAGCCTACTGACCCACCAGGGATATATTAGAGCTGCTGTGCCCACATCCACACTAAAAGCATTCAGAATTTTAATTTTTGCCAGTCTCATATACTATAAAAAAGAATATAAAGATTCTTCATCTTTTAAATTTGTTGTACTTTCACGATTGCCTATGATTTTAAACATCTCATGATATGTTTACTAGTTGTGGTGGTTATTTACACTTGTTAACAAAACAGGGCAGTGGTTTTTAATCCTTGCTGCCCATTAATGTTATCTGTTAACATATAAAAAATACTAATTTCTTGGCAGAAAGTAGTATTAGCTACTGGGTAGCTCAGAATATCTAGTGATGGGGTACAAACATCAATATTTTTTTGAAACTTCACAGGTAATTCTAATGTGTAACCGAGGATAAAAACTACCACCTCCTTCAATGTTTATTTAATCTTCAGTCTACTACTATGTGACTTCAGTCCTTGGAACCCTATCAGACTTGTTTTCACCGATGTCACCAATGGTTTTCTAATTGCTGTGCAATATGCCAGGTGCTTTTCCTGTTCCTCTTCAGGCGACTGTATTCATGCTCATGACGTTCATGACATATCTTGTGTGCCAATATTTTACAGAGCAGGTACTCTTACTACCCACCAGACTTTCAACTTACTGTGTTTCAAACTGAGCCTACTCGTACCACTCTCCCCACTCACCATGAACACGTGAACTTCTTCCTCTGGTATCCAGAGCTAAAACCTCAACGCCAACATTGGCCCTTTCATCATTCTTGTAACCTCTTTGCCCATTCTATGATATTTTATCTAACGTTGTTGTCAAAATTAAAGCTACCATCTCCTCTGGACATGCTTCCTCTGCCTTACACTACTGAAAGAGTTGACCACCCAAGAATCAAAATTTTCCCATCCTTAAAAATACTGGTAGGGCCCCAATCCTTCGAGGTAAAATCTAATCCACTGAACTTCTCATCCTTTACCAGGCTTGCTAGGCTTCGACAAGCTTACTACTCAGTATTCTGCCTGGGAGATTCCTAATCACCTTTCTTTTCTTTCTTTCTTGATGGTGTTCAAATCAATTAATTATTTCATTTCTTCATAGAATGAGAGAGACTGAGAGACAGACTGCACCCTTTTTAGGTCTTGATGCCACAATCCACCTTGAGCTTGAGCCAGCTTTGGGTCATAGGCACACACACACTAGGAGCACACAGGGAGGCCTCAGG